CACCCACCCACCTGGTCACTACAAAGGTTACATCGGCTGGCGATCCTTGATTATGCCTGCGAGCCGGGCCCTGTTCCCTCGGCATGATCAGACTACTCGCATGCGGGCGATCCCTGGTTATGCCTGCGAGCCGGGCCCTGTTCCCTCGGTGTGATCAGACCACTCGCATGCGAAACAGGCGGACGCTGAGTGAGAGCGAGCTCCAGAGAACTCAACGCCGTGAGCGGAGGTGATCTGTCACACTCTTGGTCACACCTCTGATTCAGGTATACTTGAATCAGAGGTGTGACATCTAGCGCCTGAATCAGAGGTGTGGCATCTAGCGCCCCTGGCGGCACAATATTGAAATTTGCCAGTCAACCTCCATAAAGGATCTCAGCAATATACAATGCACTACAAACGGGAGGTATGCAACAATCTACTATGCCTTTTTACGCACTACACACCACGCAACTACTTGACAAAACCACCTCGCGATGGCCGTGTCGGCCACTCACGGGCTCACACTCCGCCCTGTTATTTCTTTCAACCAAGTAACGTCATGCTGGCAACTCCATATTTGTGTTGCGGCACTGGAACTAGCGGCCTCCAGATTCACACCACGTCAGGCCCCGGAGTGGACGGCTATTCGGTTGAGGTGTCACATTCCAGCAGATGACATTTCGGGTCTTCGGCATACGCCGCCTTCTCCATGATCTTCATGTTGAGATCTTTGCTAGGATAGAAGAAGTCCATGTATCTGAAAAAGTAAGGATGGCGCTTAGATGTACATTATCGGCAGTTATAGGTTAAACCAGGCGGCTGAGATGCATGTGATCGAAGTCTGACGTCATGGTTGTTAATGGCCAGCCAGGCTGCAACAGTCATCCTAGGTCAGAAAAGGCTTGTTTGTGGAAGCATTTTCTTATTCATATGACGCTTGGCCACGTGCGCAATGCATGTGAACATTCTTGCGCTGTATGACATGTAAGCATATAAACACATGCAAATGGCTCGGGTACTCAGAAGCAAAGCCTGCTGTTAACACGATCTTATTTGTTTCGAAAAGTCACAGACATGCCGCTTTCATCTCGATGCTTGGTGCTGAAGTTCCTCTGTGAGTTAGCTTCACCGCTATCACTACTTTTGCATCAGATTTCGCTTTCGGTCGCGCCGAAAATCGAATGTCTCATCATATCGAAAGTCAATATGCTTGCAATAACATCGGCATTTGGCCCGTGGTGGCTCAAGCAGCTGCAAAAAACCTCACAAAATCCATCACATATCGTCCCGAACTCCCGGGGCCGCAGGGCGGGGATCTGCCCCGCAGGCCGGCCGCGGCGGAGGGGCGGGCGGGCGCGAGCTCAGGGGTCCGCCGAGACCGGCTGTGCCAGATCCGGTGCGCACTGTTTCGGCAATTCCGGTCCGCTGGGCATGTAATACCAGCAGCTCGCCTATTCGGGCCACCAGCTCGAACAGGACCGGTGAAGACCCCTCGGACACGCATCAGCTGAGCATAACGTGCATTAAACCTGGAAGAAAGTTAGCTTAAAGCGCACAGGAGGCCGTCAAATTGAGCTAGAAGCGAAATAGAAAGTTAGTTGATTGAAAGTTGAGTTATGAGTTGAGTTGAGTTACGGTAGGGCACGGTTCATTTTACACTAACAGGCGTGAGTTTGGCTGAAGGATAAGTAGTCCTTAGATTGCCACCACTAGAAGAGGCTGGCTGTTCTAAACTAAGTGACCCTTTGCATAATCTGGGAGACAGTGATGAAACAACACTGGATCTAATGGAAAGTTGGAAGCCTTATCACTTCGGCGCCGACCAATCATATAATGTCTTACGAGGCCGCCTTTTGTGTTAACCAGGCTAGCAGAATCGTTCGAAACGAAATCGCTAGCCCAATTGCTCCCATTCCGGTCTATCAGGGTCAATTTCGTCCTCAAAAGAGCAAGATAAGATTGCTAAGTACCGTCCCATTATCTGTGATGGTGCTCAGAAAGCAGACCTAAGACCGCCTTGCATGAGAGCTGTTTATCCACTAGAAGACCGGTTCACCTGACCTGAAGATCATTCACCCTGACTTGATGGCGCTCGCCTGACCTGATGATCAATCACCTGACCTAATGTTCGCTCACCTGACATGATGATCGCTCACCTGGCCTGGGACCGCCTCAACCAGAGGATTGTTCACCTAACCCAGGCGGTCGGCCACGTGGTCTTCGGGAAGCTTAACCGTCCGGTGACCGCCCCAAGTGATCTGGGGGCTGTTTACTTAGCCTACAGCTGTGGTGCGATCATCCAGCCTGGGCCCTGCTCCCTCTAACATGGGACCAATCACCTGAGCTGGAGGCCGCCCACCTGACCAGAGCACCGTTCACCTGATGTAAGAACCACTCCCCTGACCTGAGGACCGCTCACCTGACCCGATAACAGGTCACCTGATATGAGAACGGCTCACCTGACCTGAGGACCGCCCACCTGACCTGATAACAGTTCACCTGACCTGAGAACTGATCATCTGACCTGAAGGTCGCTCACCTGGCGTGATAGCACCTCACCTGACCTTAGAACCGCTCATTTGACCTGATAGCCGCTCACCTGATGATGCGCGCCGGGTCGGGAGAGTCGGCGATCACCTCCCCCAGCTGGCAGAAGAGCCGACTGGTGCACAGGTCGTCCTCGTCCAACGATGCGTAGATGACCTGCAGCCGCTCCACCAGGTCCCGGGTGCGGTCGGTTGACTCGTCCTCTGAAATCCGCCGATGCTCAGGCCTTGCTGGTACTGGACGGGAAGGGGAAACGGGCTGGGAGTCGCGGAGTCGAGACTAAATAAACAGCGTCTTTTTCACGATTCTAGGCCAAATTTCAAAGCATCGGTCCTGT